AACCCCCCTGTGCAAACCCCTGGGGACACCTGGCTGAACCTTCCCTACAAACCCCTGGGGACACCAGGCCCAGCAGTGCCACCCCAGCCCAGCAGAGCTCAGGTGATGCTCACAGACCTCGGGGTACATCTCTGTCCCCAAAACCACACCTGGCAAAGGCTGCCAGCAGCAGTGGCAGGGCTGGGAGAGGGGCAGTGGTGGGTCCAGAGCTTGCCCTCATCCCACAGTGCTGCTGTGCACCCGGGAGTGATGGGGTTTATGTCACCCAGGACACTGCCATGACCACACAGACTGTGATGGGGTTTATGTCCCCTGAGCTACAGGACACTGCCATGACCACACAAATCGTGTCTGCTGAGGCTGCAGGACTGGAGACAGCACCCAAAGGCACTTCCAGAGCAGCTCCTCTGAAATGGGCTTTGTTTATGCTGTAGCAGCCTGGAGAAATGAATATTGCCTGCCCAGAAAGATTTAAATATACATAAAGTTAGAAGGAGGAAGTGTTAGCTAAAATCTCATGTTTCTGGAAGGCAGACGGTTCGTTAGCAGTGCTTTAATGAGGCTCTAACCTCACTGCAATGCTTTCATTAATGCTCCTTGCTTGCTGAGTGCCAAGTGCTTGGCTCCTCTCCGACAGCCCGGCTGGCCCACAAAGAGAGGGGCTGAGGGTCCTTTGATGCAGAACGTGAGCACATTGCCCCCCCAGGCAGGACAAACGACAGTTGGTGAGAGGAGACAGCCCCAAGCTCAGCAGATGGTGCCCAGGGCAGGGTGGGCAGCCAGAGCAGAGTGGGCACACAGGAGGGAACAGGAGGAGGGGGGAGATGAGGTGCCAGTGATGCCAGTGATGCCAGTGTTCCTGTTGGCTGCAGCTGGGTCAGCTGGGGGTCAGGCAATGAGCAATGCAGGACATCAAGGATGGATGTGCTGGAGATTTGGTGACAAGGGCAGACGTGGGGAGGTGCAGGATGCAGGAGATCAGCACTCAGCCTGCTCCCCCTGCTCTGCTGCTGCAGATATCTCGTGTGGTTTGTGCCCAAAGCCGGAGCCAGATCTCACCTGCTTTGGCCAAACCAGAGTCCTTAATCCAACAGACTTCCAAACTTCCAGACTTCCAAACTCCCCCTGCTCTACTGCTGCAGATATCTCGTGTGTTTTGAGCCCAAAGGTGCATCCAGATCTCACCTGCTTTGGTCAAATGTAAATCCTTAATCCAACAAATTTCCAAACACCCAAGGACCACTGTGACCATAAAGGGAGATCCTGTGCCTTTGAGGTGCTCCCAGCCCTGCTGTGGAGCTGCTCCAGCTGGAGGAAAACCAGGAGAGGATGGAGTCCCTCCTCCAGCCCCTCTGCCTGTGACACCCCTGTCCATGCTGCTGGCTGCAGAGGGGAGGAAGGGACAGCACCTGCTCGTGGTGCTCACCTGCTCATGGGGTGATGCCAGGCACCCTGAGCACACCTTCAGACGTGGATGTGGAAGGACAGACGGACAAGGATCACCCCAGCAGCTGCTGGTACACCCCTCCACCCCTCCTGGGAGCCGAGGTGAGCATATGCTGTATGCTTCTCCTCCTGTTCCTGGAAACACTCTGAATAGAGGGATTAAAAACCACCCCTCACACACAGCCTGCAACAGCAGAGCCAAGGCTCTGGCTGGTATTCCAGCACAGCAGAGAACAGGTGGGCAGGGTGTAGGAACAGGAACAGCTCTGCCTGCCCGGCCACCCCTGCCAGGACGGTGCCAAGAGGAATGCCAGGCTGGCCCTGGCATCACAGCACAGAGACAGGAGCAACAGGGGCTGGGCACGGTGTCCCACCATGGTCTGGTGGCTGCAGGGGCAACCAGAGAGCCCTGGCAAAGAAAAGTTCAGCATCGTGTCATAATCGGCTGAAACAGACTTTCATGCTGTTTTAGCCAAAAAAAAAAAAAGAAGGAAGATTATCCAGAGAAAAAAGGAGGAAGCCAGCAGGCTGCCAGGGCACAGAGTAAGCATGAAACACAGGGTGAGGCAGGAATGACCATGGAGCAAAGCTCCTGCCCTCAGTGCATTCTGCCCAAACCACCAAACTACAAATCTCTGAACTAGAAAATTCACAATGTATTTTTTTCACCCTGTAAAACTGACAGATTCAAAGCCAAACATGGAAATATCTCAGGGTGCTGATGTGCATTTTTCCTGGTAAAGTTTCTCTGAAACCTGGCCTGCTTCTTCTGAAGAGATAAAAAAACAGAGAGAAAAAAAGAAACAGGATATTTTCAAGTAAAATTAGTTAGATGCAGTCTTTTTTTAGAGTGACTGCTATAGGCAATTGGGAAACTGGTAAAATAAAAATGTTACCCCAAGTATTTTTTGCCAAAATATGGTGTGGTTGTTTGTTTTTGAAAAAAAGACTTTCTAAATTTATCAGAATTCAGAATATGGCAGATTCTAGAAATGAAAGCAAAACACAGAAAATAAAATAAGGTGAAATGGAATGGCAAATGCTGTGAAATTTTAATCTGGACTTTACAGCAGCGTCTAAAGCCCACTCACACCACAGTAAATTCTTTTTCCTAGCACAATAAAATAGTCCCATAATAAATCTTTTTAGTTTCTACTGGCCCCATCCAAAGCTTCCCTGTACTGACAGTGAGACCTTGCAGGTCTCTGGGAGCCTGGGCATCACTTTGCACATGACAGCAACTGTGCCAGCCTGAAACACAACGCCCTGAATCCCTCAGCTCCTGTGGCAAAACAGCAGAAACTTGGTGTTTAACATGGATTTCATCCATGGCATAAAGCAGATGAGTTTTGCCCTAGTGCAAAATGGGAAAACAAAGTAAAAAATGAGCACAGCTGTAAACAAGATGCACATTGGCAGCCCTCACCACCCTGGCAAGGGTAATTGCCCTCGAGTTTAATCAAGGTAGAAGGAGGGGATTAGGAAGCACCACATCCATGGCACACTTCCCTGCTTTGTCACATCACACTGAGCGCTCGATAAAAGATCCCTTTGAAGAGGAGCCAAGCCCATCCTCATTGAGGACACTGATCCTGCACTGGGTGCACTGAGCTGGGCTCCCACTTGTGCAAAGAATTTGTAAGAGGCAGAAAAAGGAGTAGGAGTGAGCAGACAGTGTTGCAGCTCAAAGAAAACTACCAAAGGCAACAATTAATTATTGGGGTTTGCCTCTATTTTTTTTTTTTTTGCTGGCAGTGGAACAAACAGACTCCTGTGTTAGTAAAATGTATCCTTCTCTAGAGATTTGGATATGTGTCAATAAAGATTCAAAAATCATTTGCCCTCTCCCCAAAATCACAAGATGAGTAAGAAAATACATAGAATAAAAAAACTTAATAGTAACAAAGGGTTTTCTTTTGTGTGTTTCTTTCTGAGCTGTTGCCCTGCCAAGCTAATTTCAATAGAACCTTGGTTAAGGGAATATTAAAGAAAGGAAGGTGAGACTTTCCCATCATTCCACCAGAAGGGTTCAGTTTCCCAAGAAAGCAAGTCTGTAATGTGATGAGATCACTTCCAGCTGACGAATCTGAAGTTTGTTTTTAGAAGGCTAAAAACAACAACAAAAACAGATCAAGTTAGAAAAACCCAGCACCCAAACGCAGATCACTTGGACACTGGGAATTTGGGCCCAGCCAGAGCGGGTACCGTGCCATCCTCCTGCTTCCCAGGGAGGGCAAAATTCCATGGTTTCCTCAGGGAATCCAGCTTGGGCAGAGATGTGAGTGGTGATTATTCTTAAAAATTAATCTTAAAAATTAAATCTTAAAAATTAAGCCAGACCAGTGATTTCCCAGTGCTGTCTGAGCTCAGCCCAGGCAGGAGCAGAGGGGCTGGGACAGTTCCACTCCAGGCTCTGCTCCTGCAGGCACAGAGGAGCTGCTGCCATCCAGGGCAGGGCAGGCACCCACTCACCAGGGCTGATGGAGCCTCCTCTTCCTCCTCCTCCTCCTCCTGCCGTGCCAGAGCCCCACCCTGGAGCACAAACAGCCTCTGCCCACCATCTCTCTCCCTTCCAGCCCATGCCCAGCTCCTCCAGGTGTTGTTTGCTCTCCCAGTTCAGACAGAACTCACCACAAAAGCTCAGTTTCGTTGCTATTGATTCTCAGCCCCAGCCTGGCCTTGTTGAGGTGACCAAGTGAGTGGCAGGTGGCTGGTTCTTCTGCTTATTTTCTGCTGGATGGGGACACCAAATATTTGCTTTATGAAATATTTGCAGCAGCTCCACGACAATTAACAGCATCAACTGAAATGCTCAAAAAGGGTGGGAGAGTGCTTCTGTGCCTTTGCTAAGATGGCACAGAAACTCCTGGGCTGTGTTGCTTTGCCATGGAGTGCACCTCACAGGCAGCACAGGTGATGGATTAACCCCTGGTTTCACTGGAAGATGCCCACAGGAGTGGATCTGGAATTCTGGTTTCTGATCCATACCAGAGCACTCTTAGGGAAAGCTTTCTCTAACCCAAGGACGAATAAGAGCAGGTAAAACACTCACCAAACCAATCCTGTGGCAGCAGAACAGTTTAGGCCTTGCATTTCAGGAACAACAGAACTGCCTGAGGGCATGTGCTAATTACAGACTGCTCCTATCATTGCAGTTTACATTGCAAGGCACCAACCAAGCCGAGCAAGAGTGACTTACCTTTGATGAGGGGAAGCTCCAGCTATGATCATGCTTGGATGTTGCATTCAAGGCAAATGTAGGGAAGGCTGAGCCAAGTCCTGCTCTGGGTGAACTGCACAGACTGCCCAGCAGCCGTTATCTGTAGCAGAATCATTGAGGGATATGTTCTCATCTGAGACCTCCAGAAGTGCTGAGTTCTGGACAAGTTCTCCCTCCCACAAATCACACTCACATCATGGCCATATTTAAACAATAGACCAGGAATTTTGGACACAAAATTCTCCAATGCTGGGATGTCCAAAGGCCTGCATGCTCCAAGGTTCTCACAATGTCTCCAGATGCAGCAGAGGCAGAGGGAGAAGGGTTTCCTCCAGGCAGGGACTGCTGCTGCAACAGAGATTCAAAACCACAGCTCAGCATAAGCTCTGCAAAAACGAGACACCTACACAGACCACAGGATTGCTTGGGTGCTGCATCCAGAGACCTGCTGGTGAAATGCCACTGCCTGCAGGGTGGATGGCAGAGAATGGATCCATCCAGCCTGGCAGGTCTGGGTAGAGACTCTGGCCAGTGGTTGAGTGGCTGCCTCTTCCCCAGCTCTCACTGTCCTTCATACCCTCTCCTACATGAGAGAGACAATCATTTAGGAGTGGATTTTTAACTCAGTGCCATGAATCACTGATAGGATCAGGCCCACAGAGCATGCAGGCTATGACTCAGTGCTGAGCACCTTTTATTTCCTAGGCAGACAATATGCTTTTGGATTCATGCATTCTGCAATTTATTTCTTTTCCCTCTTTTTTTTTTTTTTTTTTTTTTTTTTTTTTCTAGTAAACACTTTGCTATGTCAGAATCTGTCAAACAACTCCTTGTGCCATGTTTTCACAAGAATCCTACTTGCTGGCTGGTGCCAAGCTCCCTTTTAAACAATACTCAGTGAAGCATTGCACTGCCTGTGCTCTGCTCTCCTGCCATATTTAGACAAAAGCCAGGGAATTCCCTGCCCTACATGAGGGCTTGAATGAGTGTGCTCTTCTCCCACCTCAACTAAAAAAGCATGTGTTCACATCAGCCAGGCTTCCCCCCAGCTTTATTTTTAATTCATTCCACACTTGGATTTATTTACCTAGAAATCTGAAGGGGGGGGGAAGGAAAATTTAAAGAAAACAAAACAAAACAAGTGAATGCAACCACAGACACATGCTTAGTCCCGCTGGGTCCATTCCCAAAGAAACCAAAACCAGTGGAATAAACCAAAACCCCACAATGACAAACGCGAGAAAAACATGCAAACCCCACCCCAGCGCACAGCTGGCAACAGCTGGATCAGGTGGCTTTTAGCACATTAGCCCAGGGTAAGGAAACAGCTGACACTGCTGCAGGCTGCCAAGGGGGTTCTGGCAGAGCACCTTGTGTGCACCTGGCTGATGGGGAGGAAAAAAGGGAAAA